AAAAAAGTTGTTTTTTTTCCTTTATAATATCATTTTTATGAATTCGATCCTATTTTTTTATAACATCATTGCTTTTCTTACCGATGTTAACTTGAAAAGCTTATCAAACTTAAAACATGTTGATATTACGGAAAATTGATATTGTCAGGCCTATAGGAGAAAAGGTTTTGTCATTTTTAAACTGCCAACTCAATTTGCTATTTTACTGCAACTCAATTGGTCTTTTGAAGCTTAATATTTCCTTTTAAAAGCGCGAAAACTCTTTCAACGTTTTTATCTTTCATCTTATAACAATCATTAAAAGTATAAAAATAAATACATACAGATTTTTTTCATTGATTTATTTCTCCCTCAATTGGCTACATACATCGCAAGAGTCATGTGACCTTTTGAGATTACATTATACTGATTAAAGTATTTTGATGCATAAAAATTTTAGCTAATGTGTCTCTTAATTTAAAGATAGCATTAAAGTTTTTAAATTTTTTAAAAACTCCAGCAATATTATTTAGCAACAGAAACTTTAACTCCAAAAGCACGAAAAACTTATATCTTAGAATGTTTTGTTTCGAAATGCTTGGAATAACTAAAAGACAATGTATCAAATATTAAGTTTTATCAATGTTTTCACAAGCTATCTATTATACACTCATCGGTATGGGAAACGATCAAATTAATAGGGAAAACAATTTATAATCACTCCTAAAGGTTAACACTTTTCATAAGTTGACGCGTACATAATACATGAATACTTTATTCAAACAATGAATAAAACAAATAAAATAAAACTGATCAATTTTGTACAAAAATTATAAGTCTTTTGTCGATATTTTTTTGTTTTAGTGAATGATTTACACTCGAGGCACTTTATATTTGTCGGAACGATTTAAACAATGTTGATGTCGGTAAGTAAGAAATGTCGGAATGAGTCACTTATCTACATGTCTGTGCATAGTTCATGATTGAGCAGACCATACCACACACGTCGTCAGCTTGAAAGTAAATATAACCTTGGTTCACAGCAGGCTTTTAATAGAATAGAAAGTTATGTGGTCGTGTTACATTTTAATAATGTTGATATTTAAGTAATTTCCAGATAAAGTAGCGGTGAAAGGTGTGCAAAGCTCAGGAGTTAGTGGCCAGCTAGGATTCCACTGGAGTCTAGAGGATACTCGTCCAAGATGGTCAATCTGATGGGTAGCGGCTTGTCCAAGAACATTATGGAGATGTAAAAAATCAACATTTTTTACTTTTAAATACAACAGCAAACACGTCTTAAAAAATTAAATACTTTATAATAAGAAGTAAAATTTTCATAAGGTGCACACGCCATTTAGATTGGCTCGCCCAAGTGCTCGCCCAAGCAAGTGGCTGGTGCAAATTGATTTCAACTGCATTTCATCGTTGGTTAACGATATGTTCACATTTCGCTCTCTGTTAGACCTTTGCTGAAAACCTGAACCTGAAATTCATTAATACAGGCCTGTAGAGAAAAAAAAAAATAAATAAATAAATAAAAACGAAATATGTAGCTTTCTTTCATACTAGCTGCACTAAATTAAAACAATAATTGTTACAACAAATTAAGGTTGCCCATAAATCTGAGCAAAAGCTGTTGTCTAATCAGTTTCGACTTAATGATTTGTGCTGCAATATCTTATATCACAGTAGTTACTGCAAAAGTATGAACTTGTCCATCCGTGTGATTAAAATTTGCAGGTTTTGATGAAAGGTAAAGGTGACAGTGTGGCATGGTGAACATGGATCAGTTGTTGGAGAGTAGTGGAGATGCACCTGGATCTCAGCTGCTAGTTCGACAGAACCCTCTTTAGGTACTTAATAGCTGCATATTTCGTTTTTATTTATTTATTTATTTATTAATTTTTTTTTTTCTCTACAGGCCTGTATTAATAAATTTCAGGTTCAGGTTTTCAGCAAAGGTCTAACAGAGAGCGAAATGTGAACATATCGTCAACCAACGATGAAATGCAGTTGGAATCAAATTGCACCAGCCACTTGCTTGGGCGAGCTCTTGGGCGAGCCAATCTAAATGGCGTGTGCACCTTATGAAAATTTTACTTCTTATTATGAAGTATTAAATTTTTTAAGACGTGTTTGCTGTTGTATTTAAAAGTAAAAAATGAAGCTTTTACATTAGTGTTTTTAGCTTGATTTTATTGCACAAAATAACTTCTACATAGGCTTAATTTTAATGCGTTGTTTAATTATACGTAACATACAATAAAGTCTTGAAGATTTCTGCAAACAAAAATATATGCATACAATTCATACTCAGCATAAATAAAGTATTTGACAACATTTAACAAAGTTATAATTTTTGATATAGTGGCATTAATTGCAGAGAAATATTAAACTGTATTGCATTAATCGCACTACCTTAAATAATGCTTTGGTAATCTAACTTTGATTTATTAACCTAGTTACGTGTCTAGCCTTAAACAAATTGTCATACTGCTTAACTAATCTATACTAAAAACGTCATTTGGTTCATTTCTTTATATACTGCCCTCTGTAGAACACTGAAATCTGTCAGCAATCCTTCATTACCTAAACGTTTCTTGGCGAATATGTAAAAGATTTTCATATTCTTCTAAACATTTGACACTTCCTGGACTGAAAGTAATGTTCGTTAAAATTTTTGGAGACTGATTATTTTGAGAAGTAATTGAATGTTTTTTCCTTACTTGTTAGTGGAGGCAAAAATATTTTAGTGTTTAAATTTAATTGTGCAGTCACTTCTCCCATGACTTTATGCTAAAGCATAGAGTTTGTCTCTCCATCCTTTGATTGGAGTACTTTTATCTTAGACAGTGACATGGCTTTTCCGATTTCTCGACTAATTAAAGCCTGCACAGCAACTTCTCTGTTGGCAAAAAACTCGGCCATCATGCAACAAAGGGTAAACTTAAGAAAATATGTCTAAATTCCTTTTGACATTCTTCATATTATTATTTAAATAAGATTATCAATACTGTGTCATTTACATACTGATTAGGATACTTAATTTCTCATTTTGTTATGTTAGTAAAAAAAGTTTCTGTCTTCCATTTTTAAATTAAATGATACATAAATTTGTCTTGGATTATTAGTCAATGTAAAGTTTTGTGTGCTTTATAAAACTAGCAATGGCGGTCACTTTTCGTGTATCTCTCTGGCACTACTACTAGTCTGCACGCAACAATATTGTCTTTCGTGCAAGAAGGACCGATCGTCATTTGTTTTTTTAGCATTTTTTTGTTTTTACACGTATGTAGCTGCTCAATAAAGGTAATATGATAGATGGTATGGTTTCGTGAACTATGTCATGTCCTTTTTCCTTCACGTTGATTTTTACATTCTTGCCTTATTTATATTTAATAACATTTAATTAATGTCAATGTCATTTATGTATTTACTGTTAATCGTAAAAAATGGTTTTTATGCCTTCTGTTCTTAATTTGGCGCAAATAAAAGCTCTCACAGATGCAGGCTTAAGTAAACAGCAAATAAGTGTTCAATTAGGCTGCTCAGTAAGGACTGTTGAAAGATGGCAGCTAAGATTTTAAATTGCTGGTGATAATGCTGATACTATTAGAGACATAATACAACAGTGGCCGGAACGACAATTAAAGTTACGTCAAATGCAAAATGCTTTTATAAACGATCCTTNCGATACTATTTTTTTATAACATCATTGCTTTTCTTACCGATGTTAACTTGAAAAGCTTATCAAACTTAAAACATGTTGATATTACGGAAAATTGATATTGTCAGGCCTATAGAAGAAAAGGTTTTGTCATTTTCAATCTGCCAACTCAATTTTCTATTTTACTGCAACTCAATTGGTCTTTTAAAGCCTAATATTTCCTGTTAAAAGCGCGAAAACGCTTTCAACGTTTTTATCTTTTATCTTATAACAATGATCAAAAGTATAAAAATAAATACATACAGATTTTTTTCATTGATTTATTTCTCCCTCAATGGGCTACATACATGGCAAGAGTCATGTGACCTTTTAGGATTACATTATACTGACTAAAGTATTTTGATGCATAAAAATTTTAGCTAATGTGTCTCTTCATTTAAAGATAGCATTAAATTAAATGAAAAAGTAGACTTATTATGTACTGTCGATCTTCACTTTTAATTTTTTAAAACTCCAGCAATATTATTTAGCAACAGAAACTTTAACTCCAAAAGCACGAAAAACTTATATCTTAGAATGTTTTGTTTCGAAATGCTTGGAATAACTAAAAGACAATGTATCAAATATTAAGTTTTATCAATGTTTTCACAAGCTATCTATTATACACTCATCGGTATGGGAAACGATCAAATTAATAGGGAAAACAATTTATAATCACTCCTAAAGGTTAACACTTTTCATAAGTTGACGCGTACATAATACATGAATACTTTATTCAAACAATGAATAAAACAAATAAAATAAAACTGATCAATTTTGTACAAAAATTATAAGTCTTTTGTCGATATTTTTTTGTTTTAGTGAATGATTTACACTCGAGGCACTTTATATTTGTCGGAACGATTTAAACAATGTTGATGTCGGTAAGTAAGAAATGTCGGAATGAGTCACTTATCTACATGTCTGTGCATAGTTCATGATTGAGCAGACCATACCACACACGTCGTCAGCTTGAAAGTAAATATAACCTTGGTTCACAGCAGGCTTTTAATAGAATAGAAAGTTATGTGGTCGTGTTACATTTTAATAATGTTGATATTTAAGTAATTTCCAGATAAAGTAGCGGTGAAAGGTGTGCAAAGCTCAGGAGTTAGTGGCCAGCTAGGATTCCACTGGAGTCTAGAGGATACTCGTCCAAGATGGTCAATCTGATGGGTAGCGGCTTGTCCAAGAACATTATGGAGATGTAAAAAATCAACGGGGTAAGCCTCAGGGCCAAAACCATCCATACGATTTACATCGAGGATTAATCATGTAGTTTTCTGGTTAAATACTCTAACAAGGCCGTGAATACCTGGAGCGTAATCATGTCATTCTCTTTGAATTGTTTAATGTGATTGCAAATCTGAGATATTGTCCTAAATCTAGAAGCTCCGGTGCTGGTTGTCATTATGAAGGCTGCTTTCGGAAGCCAATAAGGAGATAAAGAACGTGGGTGTTGCCAAGTCGGGAGTTGTATGGTTCCATGCGCTCCAAAACTTTGATACTAGCTGCACCAAATTGAAACAATAATTGTTACAACAAATTAAGGTTGCCCATAAATCTGAGCAAAAGCTGTTGTCTAATCAGTTTTGACTTGATCATTTGTGCTGCAATATCTTATATCACAGTAGTTACTGCAAAAGTATGAACCTGTCCATCCGTGTGATTATAATTTGCAGGTTTTGATGAAAGGTAAAGGTGACAGTGTGGCGTGGTGAACATGGATCAGTTGTTGGAGAGTAGTAGAGATGCACTTGGATCTCAGCTGCTAGTTCAACAGAACCCTCTTTAGGTACTAAAAAGCTACATATTTCGTTTTTATTTATTTATTTATTTATTAACTTTTTTTTTTCTCTACAGGCCTGTATTAATAAATTTCAGGTTCAGGTTTTCAGCAAAGGTCTAACAGAGAGCGAAATGTGAACATATCGTCAACCAACGATGAAATGCAGTTGGAATCAAATTGCACCAGCCACTTGCTTGGGCGAGCTCTTGGGCGAGCCAATCTAAATGGCGTGTGCACCTTATGAAAATTTTACTTCTTATTATGAAGTATTAAATTTTTTAAGACGTGTTTGCTGTTGTATTTAAAAGTAAAAAATGAAGCTTTTACATTAGTGTTTTTAGCTTGATTTTATTGCACAAAATAACTTCTACATAGGCTTAATTTTAATGCGTTGTTTAATTATACGTAACATACAATAAAGTCTTGAAGATTTCTGCAAACAAAAATATATGCATACAATTCATACTCAGCATAAATAAAGTATTTGACAACATTTAACAAAGTTATAATTTTTGATATAGTGGCATTAATTGCAGAGAAATATTAAGCTATATTGCATCAATCGCACTACCTTAAATAATGCTTTGGTAATCTAACTTTGATTTATTAACCTAGTAACACGTATAGCCTCCGTTTGCGTTAATTACGTCTAGTAATTTACGGGGCATAGACTAGCTGAGTTTTATGAAGTGCTTTTGACGGTTTTCGAAGTTTCGCCATTTTTGATTAATAATATTTCCAAGATGATCTATGTCGTTACCTTGCTGTCGTACCCACCCTCTCACCAGTTCTGCCCACACGTTCTCTATGTAGTTCATGTCAGGTAATCGAGAAGGAAAAGGCAACCGGCGAAATTGAGGGTGTTCATTATACCATTGTCTAACCACACGAGCTGTATGTATTGCACTGTTATCTTCGACAATGTAGTATTCTTCATCATACGGATATCGAGCAGTTACATCAGGTAGTAAGACATTTTGTAGTATCTGCACATAGCCTTCAGCATTCAACCTTCTGCAAATGTGAACGAGACTGCCGGCTCCGTGTCCAGAAACCCATCCCCAACAGGCCTGAGTTCTGAGGCCACTAACTTGAACACCAATAAAATTTTGAAGTTCATAACTAAAAATTATTCCCTCTTTTATTCATTGACAAAAAAATTGTAGTACTCTTGCTTAAAACTTAAAAAGGCAATCATTAATAAAATTTATCTTATACTTTTTTATTTATCCACTTTATATTTTTCTTTATCTAATACTAAGGTCACATAGTAGTAGTGCCAGAAAGATACACGAGAAGTGACAGCCATTGCTAGTTTTACAAAGCACACAAAACTTTACATTAACTAACAATCCCAGACATATTCATGTAAGTATCATTTAATTTAAAAATGGACGAAAGAAACTTTTTTTACTAACTTAAAAAAATGAAAAATTGAGTATCCTAATCAGTATGTAAATGACACAGTATTGATAATCTTATTCTAATAATAATATGAAGAATGTCAAGAGAAAATTAGACAGATTTTCTTAAGTTTACCCTTTGTTGCAGCATGGCCGAGTTTTTTTCCAACAGAGAAGTTGCTGTGCAGGCTTTAATTAGTCGATAAATCAAAAAAGCCATGTCGCTTTCTGAGATAAAAGTACTCCAATCAATGGACGGAGAGACAAACTCTATGCTTTTGCATTAAGTCATGGAAGAAGTGACTGCACAATTAAATTTAAACACTGAAATATTTTCACCTCCACTAACGAGTAACGAAAAAACATTCAATTACTTCTTAAAATAGTTAGTCGCCGAAAATTTTAACGAACATTACTTTTATAAAAATCTTCTACACATCCGCCAAGGAACGTTTAGGTAATGGAGGATTGCCGACAGATTTAAGTGTTTTACAGTGGGCAGTATATAAAGAAAAAAACCGGATGAAGTTTTTAGTATAGATTAGTTAACCTGTATGACAATTTGTTAAAGGCTATACGTGTTACTAGGTTAATAAATCAAAGTTAGATTACCAAAGCATTATTTAAGGTAGTGCGATTGATGCAATATAGCTTAATATTTCTCTGCAATTAATGCCACTATATCAAAAATTATAACTTTGTTAAATGTTGTCAAATACTTTATTTATGCTGAGTATGAATTGTATGCATATATTTTTGTTTGCAGAAATCTTCAAGACTTTATTGTATGTTACGTATAATTAAACAACGCATTAAAATTAAGCCTATGTAGAAGTTATTTTGTGCAATAAAATCAAGCTAAAAACACTAATGTAAAAGCTTCATTTTTTACTTTTAAATACAACAGCAAACACGTCTTAAAAAATTTAATACTTCATAATAAGAAGTAAAATTTTCATAAGGTGCACACGCCATTTAGATTGGCTCGCCCAAGAGCTCGCCCAAGCAAGTGGCTGGTGCAATTTGATTCCAACTGCATTTCATCGTTGGTTGACGATATGTTCACATTTCGCTCTCTGTTAGACCTTTGCTGAAAACCTGAACCTGAAATTTATTAATACAGGCCTGTAGAGAAAAAAAAAAGTTAATAAATAAATAAATAAATAAAAACGAAATATGTAGCTTTTTAGTACCTAAAGAGGGTTCTGTTGAACTAGCAGCTGAGATCCAAGTGCATCTCTACTACTCTCCAACAACTGATCCATGTTCACCACGCCACACTGTCACCTTTACCTTTCATCAAAACCTGCAAATTATAATCACACGGATGGACAGGTTCATACTTTTGCAGTAACTACTGTGATATAAGATATTGCAGCACAAATGATCAAGTCAAAACTGATTAGACAACAGCTTTTGCTCAGATTTATGGGCAACCTTAATTTGTTGTAACAATTATTGTTTTAATTTGGTGCAGCTAGTATGAAAGTTTTGGAGCGCATGGAACCATACAACTCCCGACTTGGCAACACCCACGTTCTTTATCTCCTTATTGGCTTCCGAAAGCAGCCTTCATAATGACAACCAGCACCGGAGCTTCTAGATTTAGGACAATATCTCAGATTTGCAATCACATTAAACAATTCAAAGAGAATGACATGATTACGCTCCAGGTATTCACGGCCTTGTTAGAGTATTTAACCAGAAAACTACATGATTAATCCTCGATGTAAATCGTATGGATGGTTTTGGCCCTGAGGCTTACCCCGTTGATTTTTTACATCTCCATAATGTTCTTGGACAAGCCGCTACCCATCAGATTGACCATCTTGGACGAGTATCCTCTAGACTCCAGTGGAATCCTAGCTGGCCACTAACTCCTGAGCTTTGCACACCTTTCACCGCTACTTTATCTGGAAATTACTTAAATATCAACATTATTAAAATGTAACACGACCACATAACTTTCTATTCTATTAAAAGCCTGCTGTGAACCAAGGTTATATTTACTTTCAAGCTGACGACGTGTGTGGTATGGTCTGCTCAATCATGAACTATGCACAGACATGTAGATAAGTGACTCATTCCGACATTTCTTACTTACCGACATCAACATTGTTTAAATCGTTCCGACAAATATAAAGTGCCTCGAGTGTAAATCATTCACTAAAACAAAAAAATATCGACAAAAGACTTATAATTTTTGTACAAAATTGATCAGTTTTATTTTATTTGTTTTATTCATTGTTTGAATAAAGTATTCATGTATTATGTACGCGTCAACTTATGAAAAGTGTTAACCTTTAGGAGTGATTATAAATTGTTTTCCCTATTAATTTGATCGTTTCCCATACCGATGAGTGTATAATAGATAGCTTGTGAAAACATTGATAAAACTTAATATTTGATACATTGTCTTTTAGTTATTCCAAGCATTTCGAAACAAAACATTCTAAGATATAAGTTTTTCGTGCTTTTGGAGTTAAAGTTTCTGTTGCTAAATAATATTGCTGGAGTTTTTAAAAAATTTAAAAACTTTAATGCTATCTTTAAATTAAGAGACACATTAGCTAAAATTTTTATGCATCAAAATACTTTAATCAGTATAATGTAATCTCAAAAGGTCACATGACTCTTGCGATGTATGTAGCCAATTGAGGGAGAAATAAATCAATGAAAAAAATCTGTATGTATTTATTTTTATACTTTTAATGATTGTTATAAGATGAAAGATAAAAACGTTGAAAGAGTTTTCGCGCTTTTAAAAGGAAATATTAAGCTTCAAAAGACCAATTGAGTTGCAGTAAAATAGCAAATTGAGTTGGCAGTTTAAAAATGACAAAACCTTTTCTCCTATAGGCCTGACAATATCAATTTTCCGTAATATCAACATGTTTTAAGTTTGATAAGCTTTTCAAGTTAACATCGGTAAGAAAAGCAATGATGTTATAAAAAAATAGGATCGAATTCATAAAAATGATATTATAAAGGAAAAAAAACAACTTTTTTATTTCTTCAACAAGTAATGTTGAAGAAACGTAACTTGACACAACTTTTGACTATGATAATGTCAAATAGTAGTTTTTAATGTTTAATTTTCTAAGTTATACTTCTATAGGTGCGTTATGTGAGGGGGTAAACCAACGATTTCAGATTTTGTATGTTTCTTCCCCTTCCCTTTCCCCTCGTGAAGTACTTCCGGTCCCCTCCGCACTACAC